TTTGACCCAACTCTTCCCCTGCTGAGTATCTTGCCAAAATAATTAAAAGTGATATATGTGTACCCATGTTTACAGTGGCACAGTTTGTAATAGCTAAAACTTGGAAACAGCCCAATTGCCCATCAATTGGAGGCTCGATAAAGTTTTTTTTATAAAATGGAGTATTACTCAGCCATAAAGAATGAGAAACTGGAGAAATTTATAGATAAATGGATGCACATTGACACCATACTCTTAAGTGAAATAAATAGGACAGACGTGTAAATACTGAATAGTTTCTCTGGTGTGAGAAACTGAAAGTGTAAATAAGGTTCAAAATATACAATAGATAATGTGAAATGGGAAAAAAAGGTCCAAAGAGGAAGGAGAAATGGGAGGCATAGGAGAAAGGGAAGAAGGGAAAGGAATAAATATGAGAAAAGGAAAAACTGGAAACAAAGTCTTTTTAAATAGGAGGCTGGTGTGGTTGAAGGGAGGGCAGGGAAATGGTGAAAAAAATAAGAAGCAATGGGCTGGGGATTTAGCTCAGTGGTTTCGCTGCCCGCTGCACAAGCACAAGGACCCGAGTTCGATCCCTGGTACCAAAAAAAAAAAGAAGAAGAAGCAAGATATACCATGTAAAGGTACAAATTCCCAATGATAAATGTCATCATATTGTATTCCTATAATGTACCAATAAACTTAATGAACAAAAAAATTAAAAAGCGTTTGCATAACAAAAAATAAACCACCAGCAGAGTGAAGAGACAACCCACAAAATGGAAAAAAATTACCAGCTGTTCCTCAAACCAAGGACTAATACCTAGAATATATAAATACCTCAAGAAAATCAGACCCCCCAATTTTAAAGACCCAATCCAAAAATGGGCATTTGAAATGCATTTGAAACATCTCAGATGACGAAGTACAAATAGCAAATAAATATATGAAAAAATGTTCAACATTACTGGTCATTCAAGAAATGCAAATTAAAACATCACTGAGATCCATCTCACTCCAGAAACAATGACTATTATCAAGAAATCAGCCAACAGCAAATGTTAGTGAAGCTGTGGCCATAAAAGAACCCATCTCCACTGTTGGTGGGAGTGTGAATTGGTAGAATCAATATGGAAAACATTATGGAGATTCCTCAATAAACTAAAACTAGAGGTTCCATTTGACCCACCTATTCCCCTTCTTGGTATCTTCCTGAGTTAAAAGTATCATACCACAGTGATACATGCACATCCATGTTTATAGCAGCACAGTTTATAGTAACTAAATCCTGGAAATAGCCCAGATGCTGATCAACAGAGGAATGGATAAAGAAGATGTGGTTTTTTTATACAATGGAGTACTACTCTGCCACAAAGTAGGATAAACCTGAGACATTTCTAGGTAAATGGGTGCACCTTCAGACCATACTCAAATAAAATAAATTGGACATGCATGATTTAAATATTACATTGTTTCTCTGGTGTGAGAGCTAAAAGGGTACATAAGAACCAAAATGGATGATAGATATTGGGAAGTAGAGTAAAATGTTCAAGGGGAACAAGGGAGGGGGGAGGAAAAGGGTTCAGAGGGTATTGGGATGTTAAAAACAAGAATGGAAGTAAAACAATGGAAACACTTTTGTAAAGGTAGAAGGAAAGAAGGATTGAAGGGATGGGAGGGGAATGAGAAAAAATAATTAAGATATAATATGTACTGGTATAAATTCCCTATGATGAATGAAATTATGTATGTAAATAGTATACCAATAAAATTAATTTTTAAAAAAGAATGCACATTACTTATGGCATTTATATGCTGTATTGTAGTATTCTATTTCCATATTTCTCTCCTCTACTAGGCAGTAATATCCTAGAGATTAATAATTATAAATTATTGATTTAATTATTTCCATCCTAAATGGCATATTAGATATTCTGAACACAGCTTAATGCCTATAGACATTGATTATTGACCTAGTTGTAACCTTCTGACTCTAATCCAACCTTCTGCATCACTTTCCCTGGAGAGGGAGAATGAGCTAACCAAAGGCCTCAAACATAGTCTACCCTAACACAGTCATTTCTATCTGTCAATCAAGTACTCATTAAAATTCGTTAATCCTCTGACTGGACTTATACAAAGTCTGGTTCAATGAGAATGAAAGAACCCCCTGAAGTATTTCATCAGGCATCACTCTTTTCCTGAAAACACATGGAGAGATCACAGACTACCAAATATACTTCCAAGGAGTAGATAGTGCACTGCATAATTATGTTTTGTTAGGAAAATTATAAAATTACTTTCTTATAAAAATTATTTCTGATCCCTTTAATTCTCTTGGGAAGATAAATAGAGAAAGGTGGAGGGGTTGAAGGGAGGGCAGGTGGATAAGGAAAAATTAAGAATCAAGATATATTACGTAAAGGTACAACTCTCCAACAATGAATCCTGTTATATTGCATACCTAAAATATGCCAATAAAATCAAGTTTAAAAAGCCTTTAAGCTAAAATTTAAAAAATTACTTCTGAACCTTACCATCTCAAATGGTAAATAAATGAATATTTTAATTTAAAATAACAGAACATAAACCTTGAATAGCAAATTTTATTGAGTTGCCATATGTTATCATTTATGATGTTTAAAGAGAAGAAAAATGTGCTTACAATTTAGAAATGTAGGTGAAGTGACTCACGATTTGCGACGTAGTGAGGTATGATGATAGAAAGCAGGGACGCTGAAAAAGAAGTTGCTTAGATTTATATCCCAGCTCTATTGCTTACCAACTGGGTGTCCCTGGGCAATTTATTACGTTACTCACCTGATGTGTAAAATAAGAATGAGAATATTATCTACCTGATTGCTGTCAAAATTAGTTAATGCATGTAAAGATCTTGGGATGTTAAATGTCACATCGTAAGTGTCCAATAAATGTTTTTCTTGTTGTTGCTCTTGGTGGTGGTGGTGGTGATAAAGGTGGTAAAGATGGCAGGGAAAGTAGAGGTGATAGTAATTGGACAAATCAATGAATGGGCTTTAAATGTCCTGTGAGAATTTGACATATCTGATAAGTGAGAAAGGAGTTATGACAGTTAAAACTAAGCTTGTAAATGAAACATTTAAGAGCAAGCAGAATAATGACAAATCTGACCTGAATTTTATTTGGACTGATTACATGGCCAAGTTTCTGTTTGCCAAAAAAGTCAGAGAATAACATAATTTTGTGAGGCTAATAACCAAAAATGCATTTCATGGAATTATCAAAAGCAAGTATAAACAAAGCTTATCAAGAGAAAAAAGGAAGAATTTTCTACACATAAAAACATCAGCCAATAGCTAATGTTACTAAAAAGAAGTATCTCTCATTGGCTAAGTTAAAGTCATCCTACGTTTGTCCTAATAAATATATATTTTATAAG